TGGGAAGAGGCCATCAGTGACCTGATGACCACTCTCTATCATGGGCACTCTGAAGGAAAGACGACATGCAGATTGGGGGGGGTGGGGGGGTGCTGGAGTCTGGTGTCCGGCTCCAAGCACCTATGGGATTTCTGTGCTGTCACTAAGTCAGGACTCTGGCGTGGTCCCACACACACCGGAGCCTCCGGAGACAAGCGAACCTGTCTGGCTCTCCCACAGCCAGGCTCTCACACAGACCTTCCCCAACAGGCAGGCACCAGCTCCCTAGACCAAGGCAAAGCCGGCGATTACTCAGACTGATAACTCAATGCCATCGAGTTGATGCCAACCCACGGTGACCCTATAGGGCAAGGTTGAACTGCCCTTGTGAGTTTCCGAGACTGTAACTCTCTACAGGAGTAGAAAACCCGTCTTTCTTCTAAGCACCCTTGGTGCCTACAATCTGCGGACCTTAGGGTTAACAGCCCAACTTGAAACCACTACGCCATCAGGGCACCTGAGGTGGTCATTAACCACTGGGGAAATTACCTGTGGGGCTAACTGAGCCCATGGGGGCCTTGGACACCTCCGGGGCTATAGGGCTCCACAGGGTTTTATTTCCGTTTTTTGGAAAGAGACTCATTGCCTAGGACGTAGGAGAGCGTCCAGCCTACCTGCTGACTGCCCAGACCTGGGACCCCAAGAAGACCCTGTGTGCCACAGGTTAGGGGCAGCCCTGAGGCAGTTAGGGGTGGCGGGGCAGTGAGGCCAGGCCTGCTCGGCCTGGGACCAGGAGTTTGTTTAAACACTTGCAACTGAACTGTTTCGAAAAGAGCAGCTTGGCCAGAGGGTTTCCTTTCAGCGTTCAGACAACTTGCCTGCCCAGTGCAATGCTGCTCGTCGTTAAAGAAGCAAACCTGTCCAGGTGGAGGGCACAGTCCCGGGGAGCCCTGCCCGGCAGCTCCAGACCCTCCTTGCTCCGGGGGCAGCACCCACAACTCGAGGGGGCTGCCTCCACATCCTCTCATTGTACACATAGCCAATGTGTGACCTCTCTGCCATCATCCACCCAGACCTGGTTACCCACGTCACCACACCCCATCCCCACACCAGGGCTGGCACCAGACCTGGCATGTTCCGTGTGAACGCCAGCACAGAGGGCGAGAGGGAAGGTTCTAGAAGGGCCGGACTGGAGAGCACCGGGGCCAGCCTGCAGCTGGGTAGACAGGGCTGGGGTCCGCCTGTGGATGCCCGCTGGGTCTGCCCAAGGGGTCAAGGCTGGGCCGTGGGGCACAGCTCCTGCACAGGGCTCTGGGGCGGCCCTGAGTCCACTCTGTCCTCAGGGACACCTCATCCCAATGTCACACAGGGCCACAGCCAGGAAGACAGTGCCAGCCTCGACGGGAGAAAACAAACAAGCCAAGCTCGCTGCCATGGACTCGATCCTGACAGGACAGAGTAGCCCCCTCTGGGGGCTCCCGAGGCCGTCACTCTTTATGGGCGTAGAAAGCCTTGTCTTCCTCCCACAGAGCGGCTGGTGGTTTTGAACTGCTGACCTTGAGGTGAGCAGCCCGGCATGTAACCCATCCCCGCCACCAGGGCTCCTTTAAACACAAGAGGGCTTCGAACGTTCATGGGAGAAATGAACCCAGAGCTCCTGGGTTTCCCTAGGAGCGTTCTGAAGACGCGTGTGCTCAGAGTCCCACGGCCTTCGCACGCCACGGTGGTCTGAGCACCTCCTGGGGTGGAAAGGCCCGGCGATCTACCTCGAAACTCAGAAAGCCAGCTCTAGTCTGAATTGTCGCCACGGCAACCCACAGCAGCCAGAGCCCCAGCATGGCAGGCTTGGGGTGCCTTTGAGCTAAGCAGTGGACAGTAGGCCTCACAACAGCCCCTGGCCCGGCTGCTGTTCGAAGGACAGCACCTGGCTGCTCCAGCCGGCCCAGAGGCTCCCAAGAGAGTGCTTCACCCAACAGCTCCCTTCTCCCAAGATGCTGGCATGCCACGTGCCTCCCTGATGTCACCAAGCTTGACCGGAAGCTCTGGGGCTCCCTCCAGTGCCCCCTCTGGCAGCTTCCACAGGAGGCAGAGCTGAGCCAGACCCCCACCCAGCTAGGGGCTGCAGAGCAGGCCAGTCGGTGTGCACACGGCCACAAGGCATGCAGGAGGTTGGCGAGCTTCTCCGTTGCCGCCTGGGATCAGCAGCTGGGCAAACCCTGCGGCCACAACTTGATATGCTGGCCAGGGAAGCCGAGCTGAGTGACCACAGGGTCACAGGCACAAAGGGGCCAGATCCGGTGCTGGCTCTGGTCACAGCTGTCCCCGGCATGGCCGGCCTCAGCCTCCGTCAGCATAGGGGCATTTGGAAGCAGCTGGCCAGCAGGTGCTGCACCCCAGTGAACTTGATGAGAGGGTGCCACTGCTCCGGAAGGAGGCCCAGGCAGCCCGAGTGGCCTGAGCAAGTGACCCATAGAGTCTTCCTCTCTCAGCCTCAAGTTCGGGCCACCACACGGCTGTCGCGACCTCCCAGCCCGGCAGCCACCACAGCTGTGGACTTGACCACCCCGTAGCGAGCACAGCAGCCTCAGTCACCCTATGCTCCTTGGCCTTTTGTTTTCCCAGACTGATTTTTCAGACAAAGTTCACCAGGCCTTTCTTCCTCGGTACTGCTGGCTGGCTGGCTGGGTTCAGCGGCCCACCTTTAGGTGAGCTGGCCACAGGCAAATGGCGTGCACAGCCCAGATGCCTCCGTGCGTATCCCAGTCTCCCGCACTGACTGTGGGGACCCAGGAAGTGGATCACTAGCCCTTTCTTCTGGGCACTTCCAGGCAGACTTGAACTTGTAGCCTTTCAGGGGTCAGCCTGGCACTGCCCAGAGACTCCCTGCCCCTAGTCCCACACCTCAAAAGGCCCTGGACAACTGACTCCTCACTAACAGGCAGTGCAGTGCTATGGTCAGTAGTCGCATTTCCTTCGAGGGGTCTGGGACCCCTTGGCCTCTCTGTACGTACGTACAGAGGCAGGTTGGACCCCCAAACCACTAGGCAGAGATTATCTTAGCACCTTCTACCAATCGATGCCCCCAGTCTACTTCCAAACAAACACTATTTGAGCTGAACTGGAAAGGCCAGTCCCTGGAGAAGGGCATCGGGCTCGGTCAAGCGGAGGGGCAGTGAAAAAGGCAGTCCTCCAGGAGATGGACCTGGGCCTCAGCCAGGCACCATGGTGAGGCGGGCGCAGGGCCGGGCAGTGTTTTGTTCTGTTGTGCACAGGGTCGCAGTGGGTCGGAACCACTCGAGGGCCCCTGCCCACGTGGCCACACAGCTCACAGAATGCCACCGGGTCCCTGTAGGGTGCGGGGTGGAGAGCTGTGGAAGGGGTGTGTGTTTAAATAACATCGCGAAGGTAAAGAGACTGGGTTTCTGCCCCCCGCCCCCCAAAAAAACCCCAACAACCACAATCACAGAAGCCCCTCGTGTTCCTGGCCTGGCCCTCCCAGATACAAACTCCCGGTCTGAGGCAGGCACAGTAGCTGCCGGCTGTTTGTAAAGTCCCCCGCCACTCCCAGCCTGGTGGCAGCCTCGGGGGCCCCAAAGGTCTCTTTTGGCTGGAGTCCCTGTAAGTGGCAAGACAGCCAGGCTCCCAACAAACACCCCTTATACCCGACCCCCCCACCCCTCCCGCACCGCCGCCTGGGCTAATCCACCCAACAGACAGAGAAGCCCCCAGCTGTCAGACTGCTGTCAGACCCCAACACGGGCCCCCTCTGTTCCCCTAGCTGCCCTGCCCCCACTGGCTGCTGGGCCAGACGCTGGGCTGACAATCACCCAGACCACGCCTGACACCCGCCCTGCTGCTGGCCCACAGCCCCCTCTGCAGAGGACTGAGGGGTGGGGGGGTGCCTGGACCCCGGCCTGACCAGCCCTCAAGCGAATGAAGCCATAGAAAAGCCATCATTCAGTACCCACAGAGCAGAAAGCGTGTGCCCGGTATGGGTCCCCGCCCCCCAACCAGGAGGGCTGCCTGCCCAACGTGGGCAGCAGAAGCCCAGGCAACAGGGGCACGTTCTGGAAGGGGCTGGTGGCAACGAAGGCCTCCCTCGGAGGGCCTGTCCTGCGGCGCTGACTCCCAAATAAGGCCTCACTGCGGCGGCTGTTTCAGTTCATTCCACATAATTGGAAAAACATGGGCTAATTAGAGCCAGCTGCGCGCCACCGGGCGGGGGGATGGAGGAGGCCAGCCTCCCCCCACCCCCATCTTTGTTCACACGGAAGCCTGGGAGGCTGGGGCTGGGTGGATCTGTTGGGGTGGGGGGTGCCCTTCGGGGGCAGACTCATAGTCAGCAGCCCCCGACAAAGCTCGGCATGAGGGACTGCGCGCAGGGGACCCTGTACCCCAGAACCAGTGGAGCTGCCCCCCTGCCCCACCATGGCCAGTGGGGATGCTGGGCTGAAAGGAAAGGCAGAGGTTTGGAGAGGGACCCCCAAAACTAGGGAGGGTGCCTGTCTCAGTCTCACCCCCACCTGCGGGCTGCTGTCACACACTCCACGGGGTAGGGGGCGGGGCCTTCACTGAGCACGGGTCTACATTCCGGGGGCTCCAAGCCCGGCCATCCACCCTCTGGCCCGGCTCCCCGTGGTCCTGAGAACCCCAGAGCGTGGCAGTGGGCAGCTGTGACTCGGGGACGGGCTCCTCACGGCCCCCCATTATTAGGAATTGTTTGCCAGCTCTTTAACCGAGATATCTGGGGGTGCGCTGAATTTCCAGCCTCGAGATGCCCACTTGCGTCCCCCCCACCCCGAGACCTCCCATCATCACCTGCTCCCCACCCTTTGTGGGAGGGGCGGGCCCATGCCGCTCATTTGTTCCGAAGCAGGAAGCCCACGTTCACCTGCGGCTCCCGGAACATTGGCATCAGAGCCCCGGTGTGAGAGAGCCTGGGGTCTGAGGCTGCACGAAACTAGCCTGCAAATGAGAAATTTCTGGAAACCCCCAGGGTCCCCCCAGCTGGGCTGCTCACAGCCTCCCCAGAGCCTGCGAATGCTCTCAGCACCCCTCCCCTCTGCCCCTTCACTTGGGGATTTGGGTTGGATAGGTCCGGGGGGCCGCGGTCTGGATGACCCATATGCGACACCGGATTAATATGACACTCAGGCCCAGTTCCCAGACGCCCCCCCCACCCCCAGCCCAACACCAGCCTTTGTCCCTCCAAGCATATAGCTGCCCTCACCTCTACCACTGCCACCACCTCCTTGCCCCTATGGCTGCCCAGGCTGGGTGCCCACTCTCCTGGCATGAAACCGATGCCCACTGGCTCCAGCCCCAACTTCTCGCTCAAGTTCTGCTGGTACCCAAGAACAGCCGGGTCTTCCTCTGCTTGCAGTTCAGCCTGGCCATCCCCAGTGCCTCCCCCGGTGCAGGGGCAGGAAACGGATGCATGCCCAGAGAGGCTGAGGCATGGCCCAAAGAGCACACGGCTGGCGATCATGCCTTGTACACGGGCTCTGGAATTGGAGAGCAATGCATGCACGAGATGACCTACCCACTGGGCCTCCCAGACCACCTACACCGGGCTCCTTGCCAGTGTCCCCTTCCAAAAGGCCCGGCCGCCCCCAGCACTGCCCCGCCTCCTTCTCCACAACCTTCCCAACCCTGGGACGCCGGCCCTCAGGGACTCTCCCACACCCAAGAAAAGGCTCCAAGGATCTCCCCCTCCAAGCAAATAGCCAGCCTCGATGATGCCCACCATGCTGGCAGCCCCTCGTGGGCACTGCCCCCTCAAGCCAGTTCTGATGCCCCTCTCGCCCGGCTTACTGGGACTGCGAAACTCCAGCATTGCCAGTGACGCTCCACTGACAGTGCCCCCTGCCGGCCACTTTGCTTAGCCATCACCAGCCGCCGGTCTCCGGCAGTTTGCACAAGCAGTGCCAGCAGAGTTGGTAAAAGCCACGCTTCCACACACCCAGGGAGACACCAGGTGACACTGGCCACAGACGCTCGAGGCCTGGAGGGAAGCCAGTGGCCTGCTCAGATGATGGACGCCAACCACTGATGTGGTACGTAGCCCTGGTTATGCAATGGGCCCTGCGCTGCTGGGCTGCGAACTGCAGAGCTGGGTGTTCGAACCCACCAGCCGGTCCATGGGAGAGAAACGAGGCTGTCTGCCCCGTAGAGATGTACAGCCTCGGACACGCATGGGCACCTTTCTGTGCAGGAGGGTCACTAGCGTGGAGTCAACTCAATGGCAGTTGGTTTCCTTAACCTGCACCTATGCACCCTTGGAAAGCCCTGGTGGCACAGGGGGTTACACGGGGAGCTTTGAACCGCAAGACCAGTGGTTCAAACTCGCCAGCTGCTCCACCGGAGAAGCTTCAGACTTTCTGCTCCAGCAAAGGGGCACAGGCTCAGAAACCCACAGAGGCCGTTCGACTCTGTCCCGCAGGGTGACGACTATACGTGAGAATCAATTCGATGGCAGAGGGTCTGGCTTTTTTAACCCTCACTTCAAGAACCCTGGAGGGGCCCTGGTGGTGGCGTGGTTACGTGGTTACGAGCTGGGCTAATGGCAAGACCAGCCGCTCCAGAGGAGAATGGTGGGACTTTCTCGTCCTATAAAGAGCGACAGTCTCAGGAACCCCCAGGGCCAGTCCTACGCTGTCCTATGGGGCCCACAGTGGAGTCCTGGGAGCACAGTGGTGAAGAGTTGGACAGCTCACTGCACGGTCAGCAGTTCAAACCCACCAGCCGCCCCACAGGAGAAAGGGGAGGCCACCTGCTCCTACAAAGGCTGCAGCCCTGGGAACCCTGGGCCCCAGCTGTTCCCTGTCCTACGGAGTCGCTATGAGTCAGAGTCACTTGCCGGCAGTGGGTGCGTTTACATGATATCGTGTGACAAGGGATTAAAGCCAGAGGGCAGGTGTGGCCCCCCCTAAAAGCCCAGGTGGTGGTGTGGCCCCTTCTTCAGCGAAGGCTGAAGTGCTCGCTCGCCACTGCCTCACGCACAGCACCCCCCCTCCCCTCCCTGACTCGCCCGTGAAGGGTCTTTGGGGTACGTGTCTGCCTCCAAACAGACCAGTCGGGGGGAGCATCCACTTCCCACCTGTCTGCACTGAGAGAGGCTGAGACAGAACTCAGAACCCCGTCCGTCAACAGATATTCCTTTGAAGAGAGGGGTCAGCAGCTGGGGGATACGGGGCTGGTGACCAAGAGGCCGTCAGCAGCCCCCACTCAGCCAGCTAAGGACCCAGGTAGGGCAGCAGGCCTGGGACCCCTGGCCAGGATCGGGGTGGGGTACACATGGTGAATACACACTCCCCTGAAAAGAATCAGGCCCTGAACACACAGTGGGGCCCCCTTTACTCGCGCACACAGGGTCGCCAACCAGGGCAGCAAGTTGGGCTCTTTGTGGGAGCAGCCAAGAGGCCAAGCTTGGGAACCTGTCTTAGAACAAAAGAAAAGGGGCGGGGTTAACTCTACGAGGGTCACATTCTCATGCAAAGCAAGACTCTTGGTCCTGTCCTTTGGTCTCTTCTAAGAGCTTGTTCCTCCTTTTGATACACTGCACCCCCTCCCCGTGAGGGCATCTGGGGGAGAGCAGAGAGGCGGAGGTCCTGTGGAAATCCCCCAGCCCCCCCACACCATCCACAGTGGGGGCCCGGCCCGGCCCACACTTCCACTCAAGCCAGGCCTCTCCAATGAAAACAAAAACGTTTTTCTTGTTGGCATTCTCCACTGGAGGGATTTGTAAAAGTGTCCTTCCTGGCTGGACAGGGGTGGGGAAGGGGGAGGGGGGGCTGTGTGTGTGTGTGTGTGTGGCTGTGTGTGTGTGTGTGTGTGCAAATCCTCCAAGGCCAGGGAGGATGGTGGGAAATCTGAGGAGCTGCTTTGTCAGCACCTATCGCCCAGCAGCTCTGGCCTGGGAACGCTTCCGGCCGGAAGGGCAGGGCTGGCTGCTAAGCCACCGGTGAAAGCCTACAGGTGAGGCTGGGGGGCCAGCAACACTGGGACCACAGAAGCTGGCAAACGCCCCAAGCTAGGCTGCACAGGGGGGATGCTGCAACCCCCAGGGGCCCTTGGACAAGCTCGAGGAGGGTCTGGAACCCCCACCCCCCGGGCCCTCTCTGCTGCACCCCAGCAACACTCAACACGTGCACGAGGAACTTGATTCTCTGGCTTAACCAAAGGCGGACAAGCCCAGAGCTTCAATTACAGTGCTTGGGCTACGGACCAGGCTCGCCGCCTTTTCTGAGTCCTTCTGCCCCTGAACCTGCCCTCCCTTTGTCCACTTGGGCCCCACAACGCGGAGGCAGACATTCTTAGCTGTTCAGCTAGACGGCCGTTTGGTTTTAAGAAGGCTTCCCGAGAGAGTTTCGGTGTAAGGTTCAAAGAACCTCACGGGGCAATTGTTTCGCAGGCCTCGTCCAGCCTCTATGGCTCCAGAAACTCTGGATTCCATGAGAACTAGGTATTCTGTTCTGGAACTCCGTCTCCCCCCTTCCCTTCCCCAGCCTATTTTTTATCTGGATTCTCCTATAGAATCTTGGATTGACCGAATCACTATCCTCACGGTGGTTTATAATGATGTTACTCATCTGTGTGCCTGCCTACTTCCTGTCTGATACGTGTCACCACATAGAACATGCATGTCTCGGGAGGACCTCGGGGCCCAATAAGGCAGGAAAAGGGAATGCACCTGTTAGGGGGAGGTGGGGTTGCGGGATCAGGTCTTGTTTCACCGGGTTCTCCCACACTGTCCTTTGCCACAAAAATGGGTTCTGTTTCCGTGTTCATACCAGCAGCAACTTACATTGCAATCCCCACTGGCTGGGCAGCATGCTCCCCCATCTGTCGTCATGACGACAGTGTAGGCAGGGACCTGGACTCCTCAAGGAGGTTAGCGATGGTGGAGTTGACACAGAACCCAGCCCGTGCTGGCTCCTCAGGATAACTGGCACCGAGACCATCCGGAGAAAGCCACCACAGGAGGCTCTCGCCCAGCACCTGCCCGCCCCCCTGCTCACCTGTGGCACCTTACCTGCCTTGCATGCCTTGCCGTTGTCCTGGAGCTGCACCCCGGTGGGGCAGGCGCACGTGTAGAAAGGCTCCAGGGGGGACAGCAGACAGAGGTGGGAGCAGCCCCCATTGTCCTCCTCACATGGCGTGTGGTCTGGGGAAGCCAAGGCAGCGTGATGGAAGGTTCCAGAACAGGACTTACAACTCTCCACCTCCTACGGCTCCCACCCCCCACATGCCCTCCCCACTTAGCATCAGGACCCTTTCCCATGGTTCCCTCGCCCCATCATGGCCTTCTGGGTGCTCCTCCGAGACCTTCAGGCTCTATATTTTCTCCGAGCACACTGTGACCATCCCACCACCCCAGAGACCCAGCCATGCCTGCACTGTGTTCCCGGGAACAGCTTCCTGCATTGCCCCCCACCCACCCAAATCCTTCAGCAAAAAAGCCCTCCCTTTCCTGAAGAGCCTTCCATCCAAGGGCATTGCCCAGAGCTACCCCGGGGCTCCCACACCAGGACACACTGCCAGGTCAGCAGGCTAGCTGGCTCCCTGTGCAGGGATGGCCGGCTCCTTGAGTCAGGGGCCCTGGGCGGTTAGCCATGTAGTTTCAGTGGCACCAGCTCAGACGTGCCTGGGGTGTGGGGCCGAGCCGCCCCCCTGCGCCCCCATTGTTTCTGGCACCCCCCTCTGTCCAGGGCACATGCAGGGCTTGAAAGCAAAACCCCTTTGTCATCAAGGCGTTGACTCTGACTCTGGGCAGCGCAGAGCCAGGCTCCCGGAATTAGAGCAGGCGCCCTGGTGGCGGAATGGTTACGTGTAGTGTAGGGCTGCTCACCGCCAGGGCTGAAGTTCAGAACCACCAGCGTCCCGTAAACAGTGTCTTAGAAACTCACGGGGCAGGCAGTTCAGCCTGCCCTGTAGGGCTGCTACAAGTCCATACCAACTCCATGGCAGTGAGTTTGGTTTTCGTCTTCTCCGGGCACTTCATAGGTGCCAACATGACTTACAAGCACGGGGAAAATGAAACACTCAGGGGCCCCCCTTGGACCTGCTATATTTCAGGAGACTGGCACCAGACCTGCCATATTGCCCACGTCAGCATGTGCATCATTGCTGGGCCTTGAAAACAAGGCAGCCTTCCCTGCGTGGGGGAAGGGGAGCAGAATCCACTGCTAAGTCTGAAGACAGCCCCCCTTGAGCTCTGCATGGGGCTCTGCACACCCCGACTCTAGCGAGAGTTCCTCCTGGCGGCCAGCGGGCACTCACAGTGGGGCTGGCGCTCCGAGCTGAGCACCTGGATGTCCATGGGTGAGTAGAGGGAGTTCAGGATCTCCCGGCGCTTCTCGCCTGTCTTCTTGTTGCAGGAGTGGATGGAGCGGGTCTGCCAGTCCGTCCAGAACAGCGTGTCCCCAGAGAGCGTCAGCGCAAAGGGGTGCGTCAGGCTGCCCTCCACCACCTTCTGCCTGTGGAGGCACAGAAGAGGAGCTGCCGTCAGAGCCCTGCCTGACCCCTGGGCACCAGAGCTTGTGTCCCACGGCTGGTCCAGCTACACAAGAGCACCAGGAACACGTCCAGCCAGCCCAGGGAGGGTGTCCCTGGAGCCACACCCCCACAGATGTTGCCCAAGGTGTGTGGGGCCCCTGTCAAAGGCAGCGGCAATGAGAGCCCCCCCAAGTCGTGCGCAAAGGGCAGTGGGGCCATCGGTCAATTCTGTGCCTATCCAACCAGTCAAAAGAATGTTGGCGCCTGGCAAGGTGAGACGGAGAGAAGGGACCAGGGCAGACACACCCGGGGGCAGGTAGCCAGTTCCCGGCACTAGTGCCCCCTCCTGTTCATTCACAACCCATTAAAAGTGGGGCTGGCACGGACTCCACTGTTGCCGACGGTGTGGCCTCCACGTGGAAGAAGCTCTGCTCTTCCGGGCGGTGACCGTGCCCAGCTGGAGAAAGACGAGGCCCTCTGCTCCCAGAGACAGTCAGCCTTGGAAGCTACCGGGGCGGCGGTTCTCCGTCCTGGGATGCGCTCAATGCCAGTGCGTGAGCAGTAAGGACGGTGCCCAGCTGAGGAAACCTGTTTTTGTGTGAGTCTGTGGACACTGAGATAAGGTGGGGGGCCCACTGAGGGCGAGGGAGACCCTCTGTGAGATGTCGAGTTCCGACCGCTGCAACGATCAGCTCACGTATGCAGGTGATTGCGAGGGCCGTGAAAGACCACACTGGTTTTGTCCTGTCACCACAAGTCAGTCAACTCAGCAGTTGTCTGTCTACCCATCCACCCACCCACCTTTGTATGCATCATCATCTAGCCATTTGTCCGTCCATCATCTATACCTCCACCTACCCATCCATCATCCATCCATCCACCCTCTATCTAGCCATCCACCCACCCATCCATCCACCTCGAAGAATCATCCATCCATCCATCCATCACCTATCTACCTCTCCATCTATCCATCCACCCAGTCATCCATCCATCATCTATCCATCCACCCACCTATGATGAATCATCCATATAGCCAACCATCCATCCATTCTCTATCTAGCCATCCACCCATCCATCCATCCACCTCCACAAATCATCTATCCATCAATCATCTATCCAGCCACCCATCCATCCATCCACCTCCACAAATCATCTATCCATCAATCATCTATCCAGCCATGCATCCATCCATCCACTCCCCACTCATTCATCAATCCATCCACCCACCCATCCATCCATCCATCATCTATCCATTTCCATTCATGATCTATTTATTCATCTATCCATCTACCTATCATCCATCCACTCACTTTCTATCATCTATCACCCATCATCTACTTATTTGTTCATCTAACCATCTATATCATCTGTTGATTCAGCCAGCCAGCATCTAGCTACCTACCATCAGTCCATCCATCCAGCATCTAGTTACCTACCATCGGTCCAGCCAGCCACCTCTCTGGAGTGAACACTCAGAAACCCGCAGGTGCTCAGCTGCAGGTGCCATCCCAGGTGCCAGAGTGGGGAGTGAGACTCGGCGTGTGCCCACTCTATGCCCATAAGTCTGAGGTCTCAAAAAGTCTGAATTCAGCATACACCAGGCCCCATGGGCCTCGGAGAAGGGACACTAGGAAGGGACTGTGGGAAGACCGGCTCAGACTGGCTGTCTTGGTGGGTGGGTACTGGGGTGCAAGGTAGCTGGACACACCACCCCTGCCAACCACCTGGGGCTAGAACTCACCGGAAGGAGCCATCGAGGTTGGCCCGGTGGATGAAGCTCAGCTTGGCATCGGCCCAGTACAGCTTGTGCTCATCCAGGTCGATGGTCAGCCCGTTGGGCCAGTAAATGTCAGAGTCCACAATGACTCTCCGGGTACTGCCGTCCATGCCTGCCCGCTCAATCCGGGGCATTTCGCCCCAGTCTGTCCAGTACATGTACCTGGGGGGAGGAGGGGGGAAGAAATTCACAAACCTGCTTCCCCACAGGTGGATGGGACCGGGACAGTGAATCGGCCCACAGCCTCACCCCAGGGGAGGACCAGTGAGTAGTGAGTAAGAGCCGGGGGACAGCTTCAGGGTCCCCCAGCAGTCGCGTGATACCTTCATGCCGAAACAGTGTTGGGCAGTTAGAGCAGGCTCTTGGTCAACCAGTTCTCACTCCACAGTACAAGGTAGCTTCAAAAAGTTCATTGAGTGGGTGGAGGGGTGCGGGAATAATGGAATTAAAAAGAGAATGGGGCCTGTCCGTCAGCTTTGTGGAGCCTCCTCAGACTCCCCCGCTCTTTACTGAATACCAATATCGGTCTTGTTTCTTTCTCCCTTTAAATGGTTGACTTTTTATTTCCTAGGGCAGTTTGAGGTTTACAAAAACATGGGGCGGAGGGCAGAATGTGCTGTCCATGCCTGTGGCCCGAGTGTGGTTTCTCCTGTAACTCACACGCAGCCTTCCTGGGACCCACTTGTTACCGTGGAGGGCCCGACCGGATACTTTATTACTAACCAAAGCCCAACGTCAAGACAGGGGCTCCAGTATTACCACCGAGTCCCAGTGGTGTTAGCTCCCTTCAGACTTCAAGGAGTCCTGGTGGCACAGTGGCTAAGTGCCTGAATTCTAACCAAAGGGTCAGCCGTTTGAGCCCACCAACGACTGTTCAGGAGCAAGATGAGGCCGCCGGCTTCAATAAAGGTGGGTGGGCTTGGAAACACCCATGGGGCGGGGGTGGTGGTGGGGGGCGGCAGTTCTACTCGGTCCTGGACGCTCTGTCATGTGCATGATGTCATGGATGCACTACAAGCCTAACAAGGCTTGGGAGGCGGGCGCAGGACCGGGCAGTGTATGGGTTCTGTTGTGCCGAGCTCGGGTCACTCGGCATCGGAACCTAACCACAGCACACACAATTGTCTCACTGCCCCCAGATGCCCCCGGCTTCACCTCCTCATCTCAGAGCCCTGGCGGCGGATTTGCCAACCAGACTCACCGCCATCGAGTCCGTGCCAACGCCTAGCCACCCTACAGGACAGGGTAGAACTGCCCCTGTGAGTTTGAGACGGTCACTCTTTAGGGGAGTCGACAGGGGAACGGCTGGTCGTTTCGAACTGCGGACCCTGCGGTAAGCAGCCCAATGTGTAGCCACGATGCCGCCTGGGCTGCCCGCCACCCCCAGTGCTGGGTAAGCCTGCTGCACGATGCCTCTTGACAAGCATTGAAGACGCAGGTGCCCCTGACCCAGGCATGGCCACTGGCCTCCTCTCCCTGGGAAGCAGGAAGGCCGGAGAGGAATGGGTGGCCACTGAATTCTGGTGTTGGCGACAAAGAGGGAAAGGACCGTGGACTGGCGGGAAACCCCGACCTGGGTCTCAGGATAACCAGCACGGTCCTCAGAAGCGACGATGGTGAGATTTGGTCTCACGTAATTTGGACAGGCGGTCAGGAGAGCCCAGTGCCTGGAAAAGGACATCATGCTCGGTACCGCGGAGGGCCAGCGGCGGAAAAGAGGGCGGCCCTCAGGGAGACAGACCGACACAGCGGCTGCAACCATGGACCGACACAGCGGCTGCATGCTCAAATACAGTAACAGATGTGTTTCGTGTTGAGTCAGACCTGCACCCAACAACCTAATGCTGGTGCCCCTTCGCGCTTCGAAGGTAGTGCAGCACATGGCGTGAGGGGTGACCCCGTCCGTTTAGGACTCTTGGGGTTGTGGCTGGTTTTTGCAAATGAAAATCAGGAAGAACCTGCTGCTGCCGAGTCAATCGGGACTCACAGCGGCCTCCAGGACAAAGGACTGCCCCCCGGAGGGTCTCCAAGGCCGGGTTCTTTGTGCACGCAGGAGGGCCACTCTCGGAGCAGCTGGTGGGTTGAACTGCCGACCTTTCGGTTCGCAATCGAGTGTCTGACCACTACGCCACCAGGGGTCCTTGAAACCCGAAGAGGAGCTAAAGCCCTGAGCACGGGCAGCGTGACCGTGATGGTGACAGTAGCTGCCCTGGGCGGCAGGGTTGTGGGCGGTGGGCGTTTGTTTAGGCAGGCCCTCCACGTTTTAACAAGGAGAGTAGCCTCCGAGGGCCATGAGAAATGACCACTTCCTAGAGGAGGCTAGCTGCTTTGATCCGCTGCCAACCAGCCACGACCTCATGAGCAGGGCAGCAGGCTGCAGCTTGGTGTCCGGCAGGTGGGCTGGACCCGCCTCTGATGTCCAGTGACAAGCCAGCTCTCCCGGCCCTGAACTGCTCAGCTGGAGGCTGGGGACAGACACCGGGTTCTCCTTGCAGCTCCATCTGAGGGGGCGACAGCCCAGTTTTCTGCAGTAAAAGGGGGGGTGCCCTGCTTCTCTTTGGAGGGCTGCCCCCGCACCCCCCACCACCACCACCAATAGTCTCACTGCCATCACACAGAAAGGGAGACTGAGGCTGGCCTGCCCAGTCCATCCTAGCTCATGGCCTCCTGGGAGCAGAGCAGGGGAGCTGGTCAGGACCAGGGTGCTCTGAGCATCCCCGTCAGGCCGCAGACCACCAAGGCTGCCCACACTCAGCAGAGGCCCTGGGGGCGGGCTCGGTGGTCCTCCATCGGCCAATCAGAAGGACCAGGAGATTGAGAGCCCGTGAGCTGCACCTGGCCTTCCAATGGCTCCCTGCGGCCAGTGGAGAGGCCAGAACCCGGGGGCCCGGCCCCCCTCTGCTCTCAGAGCATAACTGGCATTCCTCCCTGGAGTTTCATTCCACAAGTCACTGCCTTCCTTAAATGGACGGCTGCGAGCTGGCCAGGGGTCAGCAGCCAGCTGGCTGGGATGGGTTCCCCAGCGCAGTGTGAGTCTGAGCCATGGGCCTGGCCCCTACCACCGGGGTGGGGGTGGGGGACCCACTTCTGGGGAAGAGCTGTACCGTGGCCATCTGTAGAGGGCTGGCTGCGACCCTGATTATTCCAGGAAAGGGACATTCTGCATGTCGTCCAGGAGGCACAGGCCTGACTGTGGCTCTCCCTGGTCCCCGAGAAGCAACTGTAGCCAGGACTCAGGGCCAGGGGTCCTCGCCACACGGGCCCTGCTCACCTGTCTCCCGCCCCGATGCCATCAGCACTCGTGTGTGCCCCAATGTGATGTGCACTCCCAGCAAGAAAGCCGGGTGCCAGACATTTACTTTGGGTGCCTTGGTTCTGTGGGACACACACATACATCTATCTCTTGTCTCACACACACACACTCTCACACATATGTCACAACACACCTTGCTGTGGGATACAGAAAGGTTATCCCACAAGCTGTCCCCCCACATTATATGCCAAACTGTTAGGTAGCTAGAAACAGGGACCTGGGTTGACCCTCTCCGTGCCTAACGGCCCCCTAAAGACTAACTGGGTATGCTCCAAATTCAAGCCCCAGCCAGGTAGGCGGTACACCTGGGAGGGCCCAAACTGGGCCAGGTGGGCTTAATTCAGCCAATGGGGTCAACCAGTACCGTCGACCATGCCTCCCAGCAGAAGGCCCTAAAGGCCGGAACCTCGAACCCCATTGCCCTTTTCCGGCTGCTGCTCTCCGCTGGGACGAGGTCTCGGGCTCCGTGTGTGGGTGTGCAGTCCCGCGAGGTTGCCTGTGTTCAGTGACTGTCCAACCTGAAACTACTCTGTCCTTTGTAAAACCACTTCCGAGTGAATTCTTTCTCGTGCAAAGCCAAGAACCAAAAACCTGAGAAACCTAACAAAACCTAAGACACTGCTTGCTAACACATGGTCAATGAAGATCCACTTGGAGGTCAATTGCTTAGAGGTCATCTCCCTGAGGGTTATCAGCCATCTAGAACAGGGGTCCTCAAACTTTTTAAACAGGGGGCCAGTTCACTATCCCTCAGACCCGTTGGAAGGCTGGACTATAGTTTTTTTAAAAAACTATGAACAAATTCCTATGCACACCGCACATATCTTATTTTGAAGTGAAAAAGCAAAACGGGGCAAAAACACCCTGCTGGCCTGATAAATGTCCTCGGGCGGGCCGCATGTGGCCTGTGGGCTGTAGTTTGAGGACCCCTGTTCTAGAGCAATCGGACCCTATTGTCTGCCCCACCATAGGTGGGGCCCACTCCCTGCTGATAAGGATAGTGGACTGTTCCCCTGGAGGAGAGCCCAAAGACAACGTCAAGTTAACTCACAGAGGACCAAGGTTAGGCTGCTGTCTTGAATCTAGAGTCTGCCCATCTTGTCACAGGTATGCCCCTAATGCCCCCCTTCCTATTGAGTGCACACCCCTAGCTCATCCCCCTCCTGTTGCACGTATGCCTATTGTTCAACCCCTCCCTGCTACTTGTAATTAGGGGACTTGCACACCCCCTAGGTGTATATAAGCTTTAGTTGCAAATAGATTCTCTGCTGGACCTGGCTGCTGAGATCGTGGCCAGATGAAAGGTGAGCCCTTGTATGCCTTATCTTGTCTGATGTCTCTTTAATTTACCCCTCAATTACACAACTGCCCTTGGACCCATTCAATTGTGGGGGCTGTCATACACCTCACACACACACACCACAACCACTCATCACACACACCATCACACCTACACATAACACACACACACACTAGCAGGCCGTCACCTTCGGGGTCTCGGCCGTGGGGACATCTTGAAGGACACACTGACAACAGCTAGTGGAAATGTGAGGGACACCGCCAAAAAGGAGGGAGCCGTTGCTGGTGTTGGACTGGACGCCTGGGAAGGTGTCGTGCTGACCAACACATTTCCCACCACAGAGCACTTTCCAAAGCAGCGGGGCTAATGAGGGGAGAACTCTGGACCCCACCTACTGGGAGAGGAGAGTGCACCTTAAGACGGCTCCGTCTTGGCTGTGACAGCAATCAAGGCCCCTGAAATTGCAAAGGTGGGAGTGGTGGGAATCCCTGGCCCCCAAACTCCCCGTCAAGGGCGCTGGCTTACCCATGGGCGGGGTCCAGGGCGATGGCCCGGGGCTGGTCCAGATCCTGCCAAAAGAGCACCTTGCGGGACGTCCCATTGAGGTCGGCCACCTCGACACGGTTGGCCTCTGAGTCCGTCCAATAAAGCTTCTTCCCCACCCAGTCGCAGGCCAGGCCGTCAGGCGAGACCAGGCCTGAGATGACCACGGTCTGCATGGCGGCCCCCGTGTGGTTCAGCAAGGTCTTCTTGATCGCCTCGTCACTCACGTCCGTCCAGTACACGGTGCCCTTGGAGAACTGGAAGTCCACGGCGGCCGCGTCCTCCAGCCCGCTGACCACGATGCTGGACTCCAGCTTGACACCGCCGGCGTCCACTAGCCGCACATCCCGGCGGTTGGCAAACAGCAGGAACGGTGAGGCTACGGGGACAGAGGGCACTGTGAGGACCCCCGACCAGGCCACTACACTGATCACCACGCCCACCTCGTCCCTCCACTCTGGATCTTCCCATCCGGAGGCCCCGGCGGAGTGGTCACTGCTCTGCAGAGAGGACCCATTACAGCCCTGGCTCAGGTCACCACAGTGAGGACCCCGAGGGCCTCCCTGGCCATACTGTCCAGCAGCCCAAGAGTGACCATCTGACCACCAGGGCCCCCCGTAAAGACGACAGTCCACAGAGGCCTCTGCAGGGCCAGCTTCACTCCGTGACACATGGCGAGCCAGGACTCTACACCAGCCCAAGGCAGTGGATTTGGCTCGGGGAGGGGAGGGCCCTGGGAAAGCCCACCGCGGTGGACCGAGTGGATTCTGACTCACGGCGGCTCTCTACAGCGGTGGTTCTCAGCCTCCCTAACGCCGCGACCCGTTCATACAGTGCCTCATGCAGTGGTGACCCCCCCAAACCATAAGATGAGTTTTGTTGTTACTTCATCACTGTCATTTTGCTACAGTTATGAAACGGGGGACCCCGGTGAAAGAGTCATTCGACCCCCCAATGGGGTCGCGACCCACAGGTTGAGAACCACTGCTCTATAGGGTTTCCCAGGCTTTACAAATCTCGTTGGGCCCTGGCAACCTCATTTCACTCCCTTGGAGCGGCTGGTAAGTTTGAACTGCCGACGCCGAACCGCACTATCTAACGATCACTCAGCAGGGCTGGCAGGGCCTGCGAGGGGACCCCCAGGGAGCCTGCCCCCTGATCCAGGGGAGCCTTGGACCTGCCGTGAGCGCTCCCAGAAAACGGTCTCAGCTCTGGGCTCCACTCTGCTCACAGACAATGCTGCAGACCCCCAGAACGTCACCTGCACACGGGGGCCCACCCAGATGGATCCTGGGAAAAGGAAGTCAAAACAAGTTCATCCCGAGCACCCAAACGGGAGCCTGGACGCCCTGCTCAGGTCCACGGGAGACAGGTGTGCAGCTTCCACGCAGGCACCAGGGGGGACGTGAGAGGCAGACCACAGAGGCTGAGACCCAGGGGTGCAGGTGGCCCCTCTGCAGTAGGAGATGACACCTGTGTGGCTCCAAGTCACCCCTTCTCGCCACCCTCTCTGTGCCAGGGCTGCCTGCAGGAGTGGAACAGAAGCGGTGCTACAAACCACAATGGGCACAGCGACAGGACGCCCAGTGGGGAGTGGGGGCCTCGGGCTGGGGAGTGGGGCAACCACCGATGGGCCCGGGTTTCAGTTTGGGGTGAGGAAGGAGTCCTGGAAGGAGCCGGGAGGGACGTGACGCCGGCCCAGCTGTGGACGCTTTACAATGGCTCAGAGGGTTGGACGTTGGGTCTTAACAATTTAAAAAAAAATCTGTTAAAAAAATTCTAACAATGGGATGGTATCACTATACCGGACGTCTTATAAGGAGCTGGCCACAGCAAAAAGGCCATTTGTCCCCAAAGCAGCTGACCGCTCTTTGTGGCCCATACCCCACGCACATAACCCACCTGGTCCCCCAAGCGCCAGGCTCATGGGCATCAGTACCCCATTTTACAGAAGGGGAAGATGAGGTTCGGAGAGGGAGTGCCTGGGACACCCAAGACTCCAGTGCTCAGAACAAACCCACCCTTATGGGGGACGGGGGGTGCTGCTCTCAAGCTCCCCACTGCCCTCTCCTCCAGCCCCCTGACCACTAAGACAGGTTCGTCAACGTGCCTGTTTTATATGCGTGGGATCTCGCAGCATGAGGGGCCTGCAAAGAGTTTGAGGGAAAACAGGAAATGAAAAGATGCCAACTTTCACTCTTCCGGTAACAAGGGCCAGGCACCTCTGCATGCAATGAGGCTGGCCACTTACCCATCGCTCAAGACCCTGGGGATTTAGCCAAGCCAATGTCACCTTTTTTAAAAACGTGAATTAACTAAAGAAACACAGGTGTCCTTTACAAGTTTCTTCTAAGATCAGGACACAAAAGGAAATCTCCAGGAGCCCAATCAGAATGGCAACGTGGGGGCCCGATGATTCCCCATTGACACGCTCCGCGAGCCCCGCGTGGGACGGGAGGAGTGAGCAGGAGCCTGGTCATGGTGGAGAAGGGCTCTCTGCGGATCGTTTCCCGGGCTTTTCTGATCATCTCAAAACACGCTCACGAGAAGCAGGCGTTACTGTTCTTGGGCCTTCCAGAAAGCCAACAAGCAAAAGGTCCCGAGCGTCCCCAAAGACTGTTGCCATAACCTTTGCTCTTGACCTTTGCCCTCTTGCTTTGACTGGGCCACTTCCACCCCCCGGCAGCCATGGCTTTGCTTGGGCCTGGTGGTCAGGATCATCCTGAGGGAGCCAGGTTTCATCTCCTGTTATTATTCTTCCATTCTTCCGAGAAGCGCTTCCGGATCTTGGCCCCACTGGGCTAAAATTCAAAGGGAAAGCGCTGCTCTTGTCCGAGGATGACCCGGGCACCATCATTCTGACACCCACTGAGCAAAAAAGGTAGCTCGACTTTAATTTTGCTGAGCCTACGGAGATGTCTATGGACCGGCGCCATGGCATTTTCAACCCCCTCTTACGCACGTGAAAGTCGGACAGTGAATCAGGGAGACCACAGAAGAACTGATGCCCTTGAGCTAGGAGGCTGGCGAAAGATATCCAAAGTCCCTTGGGCAGCTGGAAGAGCAAACAAATCGGTCTGGGAAGAAGTACAGCCAGAGTGCTCCTCCGAGGCAAGGATGGGGAAACTTCATTTCGCGTATTTGGGACATGTTGCCGAGAGATCAGTCCCTGAGAAAGGGCACCGTGCTTGGTTGAGGGTGGAAAAGAAGGCCCCCGTGAAGACGGAGGGACCCAGGGGCTGCAACAGTGGGCTCAACCCTAACGATGGCGAGCACCAGGACCAGGGGGTGTTCGGTGGTGCTGTGGGTCAGAACCAGCACCCAACAGCAGCAGTGGGAGGGTGTTGGCGGTTCCTTCTGCTACCGCTCCTCGGAGCTCTTCCACCAGAAATTGATCAGGCTGCTGCATTTTAAGCTGACCACACATGTCGTACGTAGTGTCTTATCACTTGATTTTGCTGTTGACCTATTTCAAATTGGTTGTTGTTTTTAATAGTTCCTGCTTTCTCTTTAAAAATACTTCCTCTTTTACTTTAAAAGCCCGCTTACTCACGCTGGTAGTCCGTAAAACATCCCTTGCCATAGGTGGAGACCTCTACAAAATACATCCCAATTTCTGCTCCACCCCCGACTGCAGGAGTAGCACTGGGGACCCTTAGGATGCTTGCCTTTCAGACATGAATGCCGAAACCCAAAGGATGTCTGTGCTGTCATGGCAGGCAAGCGGGGCCCGGGACAATGTGACCCTGAAAGAAAGGGGGGCTGGACTGATGGTTTACAGCATGGCGCTCTCTCCATCCAACAGAGAGATACCCCTATCAGACCTGTGACCATCTGTACGATGGTTGGTGGAGTTTATCCATACAATTCAGGCAGGACGGGCAATCCTATGGCACAGCTACTGGACCGATGTTTCCTGGGGGCATGGGAGGTGAGTGGGGAGCCTACAACGACAGGCACAGGGGGACAGCAAGTGTCCTAAAGTTGATGCCACGGAGGGTGAAGCCTCTCTGATTCATGCTCGACCAATCGAATTCTTGGAGAGGTCTGCTTTTTCTGACTCTTTTTTTGGGAAGTATGTTTTTCTGTATGTGAGGTCCAGGAGAGGTCACATGGTTCCCTGGGGGCTTGGCAGGGGAGGTTGGGTGGGGGAAATGGGGAGATTAAAGCAAAGAGTCCAAGGAAGAAGACAGTGTTCTAGAATTGGTTGTGGTGATACGTGCCCAACCCTTCTTCACGGGACTGAACTCCTGAATCACACGATGTGCGAATCAGACGCCGAGCCACAACGTCAAAGGGAAAACTGATGTGGATGACCTGCTGCTGGGGTGTCACTGCGACACCCTTTCTTGAGGGGGGGGTGTCCCTCGTATGCTTTTCATAAAGTACCAATGATGTCCTTCGTCCACCCACGCTTCACCAGACACTAGACAGCGGCTCTTTGTTCCACGTGAACGGAGCTCCCATCCCCGGCAGGAACATTTTGCAAACCGATGTCTTATCTTTGTTCCCAGGGCCTACAGTGGATCCTGTTCAGACAGGTTACAACAGGTGGGCTGATTTCGGGGCAACAACAACCAAAAAAAGGGCTGAAATCCATGCATAGTTGGTTTTTTTCCTTCCGAGGATGCCTTTTCCACGAACTTTTCAAAGTCCCCTCGTACTCGTCCGTGTGGGCCTGACTTATCTGACTTTGCGGGAGGCCTCCACTGTGCCTCCGAGGCTGAGCAACAGCACCTGGCTGGGTGGCATTGTGCTGAGGCAGTCACCTGTTGACGGACCCCTGGGCCGCTTCCATCTTCTGCCGGCGATTGAGAAGGGTGCTGCTGCGTGCACACGTCAGAGTACTGGTATCTGTCTGAACTTGCTGCTTCTAGTTCTTCTGAAAACCTAACCAGTAGTGGGACTGCTGGATCCTACGCTCTGGGTGGCTGACTGCAAGGTCAGCAGTTCAAAACCAATAATGGGCTCAAACAGACCGATGCTGAGGGTGGCCCAAGACCAGGAGGTGCTTAGTTGGGTTGTGCATGAGGTCGCTGTGGACCAGCACGTGCCCACACCCTGCTCTCTGCAGTGCCCAGGGGCCCAGCCCCAGTTAAACTCGGCAGGAAGCAGGCCCCCCCGCAGTGACCTCACCCACAGCTCCTCTGGGTACCAGTGAGAGCAGGGAGCAAGTTCCCCATCAACACAGGCATCCAAGCCAAGATGTTGCCTACAAGGGAGTAGCAAAACTCATTCGGTCTGAGTGTCACCCACCTGGCCTCTGGTCGTTCATGATTAGAGCCCCCCTGGACAGCTCACTGGAAGGTGGGCGGTTTGAGTCTACCCAGAGCTGCCTCGGAAGACAGTCCAAACCCAAGAACCCTGTGGGCATGGCCTGTGCTGGCAGGAACAGTGCTCAGCCCCATGGCTTGGAAGCTGGAGGGGTTGTGAACCTGGACCCTTCCCCCCACCTCATTGGCACCCCGAGCCAGGGCCCTGGAGCCCTGTCCCACACCACCACAGCACCGAGGGGTCACATGGAGGGAAGGCCGGGAAGGCCTGCCTCAGGGGAGCATGAGGAAATAAGCTGGGAACCAGGACCCCCTACCTTCCCACCACCATCAGCATCCCAAGGGAGGGCCCAGAAACCTGCCCCCCAGCAGTGAGGGCCTGCTGAGGGGGCCTGGCTAG